ATAGAGTCTGATGTCCAAGCTTCTGGATTTGAGCATGGTGAAACAAATAGAGAGAAAATCCAGCCTTTTGGTCAAGCAGTGGATGCCGAAATATTGACTGATGTTTCTGGCAAGGTGGCTATTGGTGTTCAATTTACTGAAGGAGGTGATCAAGAAGCTGTGGACGATTTAAAGCAAACATCACCAAGGTTTTAGTTATACTGCTGATGCCTTGTTCATTCTTTTTTTTGTAGTTGGAAGTTGGGTCTTATGCTGCTTTTCGATGTCTCTTACTGGAAGTTCTTTTGCGTATAGTTTAAGTAGAACCAAGTTTGATGGTATCTAGTCTTTCCAGGTTGGACGTTCTCAAGACAAGGGAAAGAAGTTCGTCCCCTGCTGCTGATTCTAGGGGTGGAAGCAAAAGATTAGCAATGAGATGTGAGTTTTTTTCCAGGGGTTGGTGCATCAAAGGGAACTCTTGTAGATTTCTTCACATAAAGGACCATGTAACGAGCCATGATAAGGATGTCATTCTAGACGAGGCTATGATAAAAGGCAAACTTGCAAATGGCAAAGGTAATTCTGAACCTTAGTCGTTTATAATGATGTGTCACCATGCTTTAATTCGATATGGTAGCGCCTTGGATAACTAATCAGGATGAGGTGCGTTACTCCCTATAGGTTTGGAAGAGAATGGCAAGAGATCAGTGCTGGATGGTTCTTCTGATTCAGTACCATCAGCAGTTCAATCTGGAGAAAATATAAAATTGAGAAGTGACGAGGAATTGCATATGCGTATGGATGGTCCTTCGTCCATCCCAGAGGTTGGAAGAGAGTCTCTTGGATGTAAACCATACTTGGCTGGTTATAGCACCTCTTCTTCTCCATTACTCAAAGATGGTTCTGTACATAAAAATAGCCTCCATGGTGGAAAGCGTAGCTCAGTCCTGTTATCTGATAGTCACCAAAATACTGTAGTTTCCTCTTACACCTCAGGTTTGGATAATGTGAAATATAAGAGGAGCCGGTCTGTGCACGACAATCATGGTTTGCAAGTCTTGAATGACTCTGTAGATAGGTTGTCTCATCGTTGTTCGTCTTCGCGGAACATAGATGCCCTTGATGATCAGAAGCTTTTGGATAGTAGCCAAGAATATTCTTCTTCTAAATCCACCTCTTTGCAGCAGAAGTCTTCGGCATTTCCTAGTTCTGAAGCTGAACTTTCGCGGGTTGATTTATCACGGGACGCACGGCGATCATCTGATTATAAAACTAAGGTTTCTTCTGACAATTGGGAGCCATCTGTTCCTTTTCGACCATCATTCTTTCTTAGTCAAATCATTGGATGTCCTGAAAGTCTATATGATCCTCTTCGTGATAGTATTGAGCAAAGTAATGTAGGAGATGGGCCCTCAAAGTTCTCTTCCTCTGGAAAAGGAGGGCCTGTATTCACCAAATGTACGCAGGAAAATGATGATCCAGTTTCACCAGGAACCTTGGGTCCAGAACAGAGCTCCAATAAACATCCAATTTCTGGTCATGTCTACCATAGGGATATATTGCCTGACAACTTGTCTGAGAAAGAATTGTCTAATAATGAAGCAGATACAGCAGATACGGCAGTTGCTCATCAGGAACACATAAAT